AGATCGATCGATCTATCTATCTATCTATCTATCTATCTATCTATCTATCTATCTATCTATCTATATCTCCCAGCACTTTGGGAGGTGAAGGAGGGAGGATTGCTTGAGCCAAGGGGCTCAAGACCAGCCTGAGCAACATACTGAGACCCAGTCTCTACCAAAAAAAAAAAAAAAAATTAGCCAGGTGAAGTGGTGCATGCCTGTAGTCCCAGCTACTCCAAAGGCAGAGGTGGGAGATAACTTGAGTCCAGAAGATCAAGGCTGCAGTGAGCTATGGTTGTGCCACTGCACTCCAGCTTAGGTGACAAAGCAAGACTCTGTCTCAACAACAACAACAAAAGTCTAAACCATTGGTCTAGTGGTTTATAAAATGGGAGAGATAAAGCATAACCACTAACAGTCACTGATTGTCAAGAACTTGAGAAATGCTTCATCGGGCTCACCTAATTCATATACAACTTTATACATTCTATTTTTGGCTGAGGAAGTTGAGGCGTCAAGAAGGAACTTGCCTGAGGTTATGCAGCTAATAAGTGACAGGGCCACAATTTGAAGCCAGGTGCTCTGGTTTCAGATGCCATGCTCCTAACCACTAAACTATTCTACTTCTTCAGATAGGCTTGGACTATACCCGCCTGGACGAGCTCCTCTGGTTCTTTCCATCTTTATCATTTAAAGTCAGTGAATTATCATGAGATCCATAACATAACATAGACTTTAGAGGCCACTTTGATAATAAGAACATACAAGTGGAGACACTGAAATCCCATGCTGCCTCTCCTTCATGGACTTGGCCTTCATGAAGCTTGGGCCTGGCTAGGTGCAGTGGCTCATGCTTGTAATCCCTACACTTTGGGAGGCCAAAGTGGGTGGATCACTTGAGATCAGGAGTTCCGAGACTTGCCTGGCCAACATGGTGAAACCTTGCCTCTACTAAAAATACAAAAATTGTCGGGTGTGGTGGCACATGCCTGTAATCCCAGCTACTTGGGAGGCTGAGGCTGGAGAATTGCTTAAACTCGGGAGGTGGAGGTTGCAGTGAGCCAAGATTGTGCCACTACACTCCAGCCTGGGCAACAGAGTGAGACCCTGTCTCAAAAAAAAAAAAAAAAAAAAAAAAGAAGCTTGGGCCTAAGGAGCTTCTAGAAGGGACAGGCAGTATGACTGCTGGTGAGTCACCTTATCCTTCTGGATAAAATAAAACTGGGCTGGATACCATCAAGTCCTCTCCAAAAGCAGCACTGAGAATTTAGATTTTAATTTTTTCAAATTTTATTTGATACTAAATTTGAGGCTGGGATCAGTGTCTACTGCCTGTAATCCTGGCATTTTGGGAGGCTGAGGCAGGTGGATCACTTGAACCCCGGAATTTGAGACCAGCCTGGGGAACATGGCAAAATCTTGTCTCTAAAAAAATACAAAAATTAGCCAGACATGGTGGTGCACCTGTAGTCCCTGCTACTAGGGAGGCTGAGGTGGGAGGACCACCTGAGCCTGGGGAAGTCCAGGCTACAGTGAGCCATGATCATGCCACTGCAATCCAGCCTGGGTAACAGAGTGAGACCCTATCTCAAAAATAAATAAATAAATAAATAAATAAATTTGATCTCTGCTCATAAATTTCTCCCAGGTATTGCTTTCCCCAATATCTCCATAAGATACTTAGGCTCCGTTATTGCATGCCCATATCTTAAATTTAAAAGGAAAATTAATTTATAAGCATTTCCTTAAACATCAAATTATGAAACCAGTGAGATGATTAGAAATAGAAAGCTTCAATTTGCTATCAGTTAATGAGGGAGAATACCAGAGAATATACTTTTTAAAAATTCTCACTAATGAGTTCAAGGAAGGGTACTCAATTCAAACATCGTAGTGTATCTTATGATGTAAATAGGAAACACTACAGGTTAGCAGGCTACCTTAAGGACAGGAAACACATATCTGCACATTAAAGATTTACACCAAGATCAAAATAAATTTTACAACCAAACTTTCTGTGTTATTAAGTTGTGCTACCAAGAGTCACTACAATTAACCTAGTTCAGACTGATTAAAAGGAAGGCTCCTATAATTCATGTTGTAATGCCTTCATTATGAGAGAGGGGAAAATAATTTGGAGTCCAAAAAGCCATAGTTCTATTATAAGAGGAAAATTCTTCTTATTCTACATATACCATTTTAAGAATTTCAACATTCAGCACTTAGTAGAGAACTTGAAGGAATAATTTTTCTAACAGCATAAAGAAACATGTTACTTCGGTGGCATTATTTTTCAGGGAATATGAAATAGTTTTTCTAACTCTTCAGTCTCAAATTGTTTTAAAGAATAATCTGATTAACATCTTGCGATACGGTCATAGGAAGAATTAAAGGGTCTGAAAAAACCATCAGTCACAAAGAAATGGGTCAAAGGACTAGAAATAATTATTAATTTTTAAGTCAATAATTTGCCAAATGACCATGTGCAAGGCACCGCGCAAAACAAATACATTGAATGTCTGGTAAAGAAAATTTTTAGGTAGAAATTAATCAGAACTAGGAAAGAGACATTTGGTTTAGTTCTATTACAGAGAACAGCACACGAAGAATTTCATTGTGAGATCATCTTTCCTGTTTGTTTAGCCTACTCTTTCGCAGTGTAACATTTCTGGTTTTTCTACTGGTGTCTTCTGATTGGAAGACAGGTGAACCATCCTTCTTAAGGTACACAGCAATGTTTCTCTAAGGCTCACATTTAGGAGGCTTTAGCATTCAATCACACTGGTCTTCTATAAATAATAGGCATCATTCACCCAGCTTATTTCTCTGATGCTACCTACCATTACAGAATAAATCACTGACTATATCAAAGGTCTCCAGGTTGGCAGCTCGTGAGATAGTCAAGTTATTCATTAAGCATACTTCCCTCTCAGAGTTCCTCTAAAGCTTACTTACCCAAGAAATCAAATAGAATGAAAGAAACCATTAAGTTCAAGAATTATAATGATAATGTTGTTAAAATACCCACTCTTTGAACAAATATGTGAATGGAGGAAAAACTTAAGCACTTAATCATTATTCACCTGTGCTAAGTGGGAGTGGTGAGGGAGAAGAAGTGTGGGAAGGGAGGGTCTTACCAGTTTCAGAGTACCTTGCTTATCCTTTCCACCTATACAAATTGCATTTATGATCAAGGCACAAGGCCCAGCTCCTCCAAAGCACCAGCAGTGATTTCTTCCTTGCTAGCACTTCCCCAGGCTTTACAGATGGTAACATTCATTTGGCAATTTCATCAGATATCGTCTCGTATTGTTATTTGATTTGTGTGCTTCTTGTGTGCCAGATGGGGCTATAAAAATTTCAGGGCAATATCCTGAGTCATAGTTGTAGGGTTTTTTTCCCCACAGTGCCTAGCACAATATCTTGCACAGAAAGTATTAAATAAATTACTTGTGAAATGAATAAACTTAAGCAAGTAGTCACAGTTGTTTTGTGCTTTCATGCAGCACAAAGAGGAAGAAGTAAGCAAGATACATGAATTAGGGACTTTTTGAAAAAGGCTTAGGCCAATAATGCACTATGTTCCATAAAATGTTTTGGAATCATCTTAAACTCACACCTGTCACAGCTGCTTTCATGTAGCAAATAATCTTTTGTATGATTATTGATCTTTATTTCAATAACTGAAAACTACTTTTCAACCTGGGTCCAAAAGTATCACCAGACTCCCTAACATTATAAAGGGGAAGAAGCAACCAAGATACTTGTATTAAGAACTTTTCTTGTGTGTATGTGCGTTTAAAACTTTTTGCCAATAAATGCATTGAGTTCCATAAAAGGTTCTGTTTTGAATTCTCTTAAAACTCACACATGTCAAAGCTACTGGGTCGTACTTAACATGTTACTGTTTGCTCCATATTTTGAAATTCACAGCACATGTATTTTAAGAACATCCCACGTTGGAACACCCTTGTACCTTTTGAATAAAGAATAGAATCAGCTCATGTCAGGCCGTAAGGTCTTATCTCTCATCTACATAAACTTTGAGCTTCAAGGAAAATCCTATTTTTACATTCGTTAAACTTAAATCTTGTGTTAAAAAGGGAACTAACTGAGGAGGCTGCCACGGGTGGCATCTTAAACCTTGACTGTGTAAACTGGCCCTTCACTATCTTAAGTTCAGCATGGAGGGGAAAGTTCAGTGACCAGACAGACATTTCTTCCACAATGCAAAGACCCCGAGCCTCTCAGAGCCGACCCCCAGCACATGTGCGGACAGCAACTCCGCCGGGACTTGCACGGCTACTTACAGGGTCACTTTAGTGGTCACCGTCGACCTGCCCACGCCGAAATGGTTCCTGGGCTTCAAGCCGTCGGCGTCAGAAGCTCCAGGCGCTCCGGCCGCTCTGCCCAGCTCTTTGCTCCGACCTCCCTCTGCCCGGCCGTCGAAGTGGTTGGGGAGCGGGCCCCTCTTGTGCTCGGGCTTGATCTCCGGCAGCAGCGAGCTGCTCTTGACCGGGAGTTCGCGGGGGACGGCCCGGGCCGCCTCCTCCCCGCTCTCGGCCGCAGCGCCCTTGGTGACCGGGCCGGGATCTGGCACCCTCTTCGGTGGAGACTCCTTGGCGGGAGCCCGCGGGCCGCTGGCGGGCGGGGCGGGCACGGCCTCGAGGGCACGGCTCCTGCCCTTCCTCTTGGTGGGGGACGAGGCCGGGGGTGGCTGTTTGCTCCGGTCCGACTCGCCTCGGAGCTGCCCTTTGGGGCCGGGGCCGGGCTTGGACTCTGGGCTCGCAGCGGAGGCAACGCCCCCGTCGAGGGCTGCCCGCGGAGATTTCACTTTCTTTTCCGCCGAGGAGCAGTCGCTGGCCGCGTTTGGCGCCACCTCGTCGTCGAACACCGCGTCGTCCCTGGCCGCGCTCTCAGGGAGCTCGGCGTCCGCTCCGGGGGAGTCGGTGGATTTCTGCGACCTCCTCCGCCTCCCGGACCTGCGGCCGCTCGACTTCTTCTCCATGTCGTCCCAGTCACCGCAATCTTCCGCCCTGGGAGTAATCACGACCGGCTCGTCCACTTGCGCCCCCTCAGTCTTACTCAAGTAGATGTCCAAAGTTAGCACCTTAGTAGGGTGGGCGCGACCCCCGGGCCGGGCTGTGCAGTCTGCCTGCGCGGAGCTGGCCGTGTGCGCTGCACCCTCGGCCGGAGGCTCACCTGTCAGAGCAGACGCGCCCTTGGGGGGCTGGATGCGGGCGTCACGGGGTCCCAGGGAGCCTTCTTCCGCACACACACCTGGGGCTCCTTCAGGGGCCTCGCCTAGTTCTCCCCTGGGCCGCTCCCGGGTGGGCGACCCCGGCGCACCCCTCGCACCCAGGAAAGCCTCCTGTTCGTGGCCAGCACCTGGTGAAGCGTCCTCCCCCGTACTGCGGGCGGGCGTCTCTGCGTTCTCTTGCCTGGAGGAATTTCCCTGCGAGGAATGCAGCTGCTTGGCAGCGGTGGTGGCATCTGGGAAAGGCTCTCCCTCTGCCTCCAGAGGTTCTAATTGGGGTGAATCATTTTCATGGCACTGCTGCACAGCCACAGCCGCTTCACTGCTGTTCCAGCGAGGTGACAGCTCGGCGTCATGGGGGGCTGCGGGGCCACCGCTCTCAGGGAGCTCGCCCTCTGCCTCCCGGGGATTCTCCCGGGGGGAGCCCTCCTCGCTCGTGTCCGCTTGCTTAAGCTGGCTGCTCTGAGATCTGCTCTTCTCACTCTCTCTCTCTGGGAGATTAGAAGAGGCTACCACATCTTTGGGAGACAGTGGTTTGGCATTTGATCTGGTGGGACTCTCTAGCCCGTTTCTACTGTTCCTTCTCCTTCCTGTAGTGAATAGAGTGCCAAGTTTCCCCAAAACTGGCTTCCTTCTGTTCTCCTCTGGAGGTTGTGCTCTGGACTGAAAAATAAAAGGGATGAGGAGGGAACATATGAGAATCTGGTGTTTTTCCCCTTAGACGTACATTACAGAACTACCAGCCAAAATGATAACAGACCAGAGTTTCTAATTGAAAATGATAAAGTTATGTTTATGTTACATTCATTCCAACAAAATAAACTCTGGTTTTACTTTTGAATTTTTCTTGAACACCTTAAGTTTCTGGCACTAGTTAGAATAGCATTTTCTTTGAATTCGTGTTTTTTAAAGGAAAATTTGAACGGTCCAAATAATCACATATACAAAATAAATAGTTCCTTGCCCTCTCTAGCTTTTTTACCTTCTTCCTCAATAAAGATGCAATTTATAAACAGTGGTGCATGTGACCATGGGGTAGCAGTAAACACATTAAAGTATCCTAAGGCGGACTTTCCCCGAAACACCGTCCTTTCTTTTTGTAGGAGGGAAGGAGGACGAAGAAAAAAAACCAGTTCTAGCAGCCTTCTCCTCCAGAACAGTAAGAAGCCACCCGGGTTCAACATACAGTACCTGCAACAAGAAAACCTTAAGCAAGCTCAGAGGAAGCGAGCACCTGGGCCCCGCCCTAGCCCGAGCTCCAATGGGAGGAGCGCGCGAGCGTTCAAACACCCGAGTGATCCCGCGGCTGCTGAGCGCACCGGAAGGGCTTTTGCCTGTGGGAGTTCCTACCCAGTGAACGAGGAGGAGTGCGCGGGGGTAGCAGGCGAGGTTGCAGGGGTGATCGCCTTTGCTCACTGCCCCCTCGAGCCGAGGAGGCGTGGCTGAAAGATGCGCGGGACTCTGCCTACTTGGCCCCGGGACCCGTTCCTTACCACTCGTGTGGTTCCGGGGGCGCACGGCTGGAGCCCCAGGGGCTGGCTCACCCATGCGAGGGTGCCGGGCAGCCTGCGAAGGATCCGCAGCGCTCCCAGTAAGGGGGAAAACCTGGGCTTCGTATATTGCCTGGAGCAAAACGGCTAGCATCTGGTGCCCGCGCCAGAAGGCGGGAGGAGCGCAGAACAAACGAATAAAAGCAAACCCGCCAATGGGCGCGGTGACACACCGGGGTCAGGTTAGCCAGAATGGGGACTGGGTAGGTGCCGGGCATAGAGGTGGGCAGGAAGAGGAGGAGGCGAGCCTGGGAAAGGGAGGGAGCAGGGGCAGCGAGCCCAGCCTGGCTCCTAGGAGTGGGAAGCGTATTTGCGTAAGGACTCCTCTGAAACCAGGCCAAACGTGCGGCTCCTGTATTTCTTAAGAATGAACTCTTACATTGAAAACCCGGGTGCCAGCTTGAGTCCTGGCGATGCAGGAAAGAGCCCCACCTTTCCTGGAAGAGGAACATTCAGGATAGTACCAACTACGGGAGGTTCCCCAATCACCCTTTGAAGTAGCTCTATTGTGTTTGAGTTACATGCAGCAAATGGACTTTGGCGATGGGAAATAGCAAAGATAACGCATGATATTAACAGGTCAACAAGCATTTGTTGAGACAGTCCTTGTACTGTAACATAGTGTCACCCCGCTACAGCCCAGTGAGGTCATGCTGTTACCACACAGATGAGGAAAGGAAGCTCAGCCAGCCCATAACGACACAAAATTGAGGTGGGGGGACGGGGGGGAGAGGCGGTCAGAGCTGTAAAGTCAGAATTCAAATCCAAGTCGCCTCCTGCCCACCCCATGCTCCTTTCACCGCCACGGGGGTCCCTTTTAGAGGCCCCGGAGGTTCTGCAGCCACCACAGTCCGCCCAGAGGAACAGGCTGCGGGTCACACACACCCAGAGTCAGCTCCCAAGGAAGTGCTCATGAATCAGATTTGCCCTCAAGGTTCTAAGATTCTCCTGGTCTTAGAAGCACCTGGTGGGCGCTTTGGGACTAGACAGCTGCTGCTGCTACGATGAACCAGTGATGCTGCCGCTCGGAGCTCTTGTACCTGAGGTCATAAACGATTCTAAAGTCTAACTAGAGTTTGATTAATCGATTCTTCAATGGTTATATAAATAATATGGGAAGAATTCAAAGTATGATTTAAGGGAAAAAATCAAAATATTGTAACTTCCTAAGGAAACATTTGGATTATTTTACAAGTCAAAGGTATGGCAAGATTTTTAAATCATAATACATGTTTACTGAGCTATCCTATGGGTCAGGCCCTTGTGATTCACACACTTTCATTTTATCTTCCCAATAGCTAGGTAGGTAGTCTTTTTTTAATGCCCATTTGCCAAGGTTTTCTCCCTGTCCAAGGTCCCACCACAGGTAAAGTCTTTCTAATTCTGACATAGAGCTGTTTGTCTCTGCTGTCTGGACAGGCCTTCAAACATATCTTGAAGAAGTAGCCAGGGAAAATAGGTTTGAGTCTTGGCTTAATTCCATTCCCTGTCAAAATAAAACAACTAAGTATATGTATTACTCTGTCCTGCCAATGATGTTGCAATCTGCTTTTCCCATGCAGTAAAGACGCTTGATCAGCAGTCCTTTTTATGCTCAGTATAGGCATTAAAACAATTTTTTTTTTTTTTTGGCTATTAGATGCTTTTTACAAAACTGGTTGCTTGCTCTTCAACTTGGCTCAACTACTTGACTCCTCCTCCCATCAGAGGGGCAGCCTGTGTATCACCAGCCAGACTGCTGAATTTCCTAAAAATACATGAATGTTCATAGTGGCTTCATTCATTCATAATAGCTAAAAACTGGAAACAGCTCAAAGTCGCTGTACACAGTTTGTGAACAGATAAACCGATTGTGGTACATCTATACAGCAGAGTATTATTCAGCAATAAAAAAGGAACAGAGTTCCGAAACGTGTAAAGATATGGATGCCAAATGCTTTTGAGAAGCAGTCACACTCCAAACGTTACATACTGTATGGTTACATTTATATGACATTCTAGACAGTGCAAATCTAATGTATAATGATAGAAAGTAGGTCAGTGGTTGCCTGAGCGTGGGGACAGTGGGTGGCAGGTGGTGGCGGTGCAACAGGGAAGAGGCACAAAGGAACATTGAGGGTTAAAGTTCTATATCTTGATTGTAGTGATGGTTATACATGAATACATATCTTTCAAAACTCATCAAACTGTACATTTAAGATGGGTATTAATAAATGAAGTTAAGATAAAATCTCTTTAAAAATAGAGTTTTCCCCCTGGGAAATAAAGAATAGAAATGCACTGTGTGGTACAATCCATCTGTCTTGGGTGGACGTTTCACAGGGTCTTGCTGTATTGACCAGGCTGGAGTGCAGTGGCATGATCACAGCTCACCGTGCCCTCAACCTCCTGGGCTCAAGTGATCTTCCCACCTCAGCCTCCCAAGTAGCTGAGACTATAGGCATGTGCCACCATGCCCAGCTAATTTTTAACTTTTTTTGTAGAGAGTTTCACCATGTTATCAAGGCTGGTCTCAAACTCTTGGGCTCAAGTGATATTCCTGCCTCAGCCTTCCAAAGTACTGGGATTATAGACGTGAGCCACTGTGCCCAGCCACGTTATGCAGTTCTTAATGAGGGGTCTCATGTCATTTCAAATGATAGACTCGTTTACAGGCGAATGCAGTCTTCTCCACAGGACCAGGTCCCTGTGGATATCCAGGATCATATCTCCAAACAGAGCCATCTGAGCAGGGCTCAGAATGCCCCGTGCCTCCCGAGTAAAGTCCTCAGTCACATCTTTGAGAAACACCCCTTCCTAAATGCAATACATATTTCTTTTCAACCAGGGATTGTTTCTTTCCATTGTTCATGGGGAAACTAAGGCAAAGGGAGAATAAAAAAACTAACTGGCCCGGGAGTTGTCAGAGAGGCACCTTCTTAGGTTTGAGCCTTTGGGTCCGGGGTCTTAAACCTAGGATAGGAAGCCACAGACCCACCACCTTTCCAGGCTTGATGATAATTTGCTAGGAAGGGGAGTGTTTTGCAAAGAGGCCACAAGTGACCATCACGCTTCTTCATGCTTCCTCAGATTCCTCTGCCCCTGGCTTTCCCACAGGCCTGGGCAGGCTCCTAAGGGTTCCCAGGCTGGGTGTTCTAAGAGCACATGCAATCCCGGGTCCTCCTTTGTATGTACCTTTTTACTGTGTATTTTCTGCCCACCTCACTTAAGGCAGCCTGCACACCTCACAGTGCAGAACTTGCACCTGGCACCCTCGCATCATCCATGTCCAACTGGGATGGAACAGTCCACAACAGGACTATTGTAGAGGCAGCACATGGGTTGTGTGCTAGGACCTGCTTTAGAGTGTTCTTGTTGGCTAAAATGAAATGCAGCTCATTAGGGGCACATGTAACCATCCACGAAATTGTATTCCAGCAGCGTGTAGAGGCCCAGGCAGCACTAGCTGCAGTGCTGTTGGCTGATTCTCAACCTTCCTGGTGTGGCAGCCCCTGCTATCAGCAGGTACCACTTAGTAAATGTTACCTAGTAACATTTGCTACCCATTGGTTAAGAAGATAATGTAAATGTTAGAGTTTTTTGAAACGGTTCTGGTTCTGAAGCTGGCCGAATCATGAATTTTTCTTTTTTTCCTTGCTTAAATAAATTCTGATACATTTAACTATCTAAGGGTTTTTCCTTTTTACAGTAACTATGGGAAAAAAACTAAGTTTTTAAATTTTAATACAGTTATGGGTCATTGACATTTGTTTTATGTTTATGATCTATTTACATCTTTAAGAAGTCTAGGCTGGGCGCAGTGACTCACACCTGTAATCCCAGCACTTTGGGAGGCCAAAGCAGGCGGATCATCTGAGGTCAGGAGTTTGAGACCAGCCTGGCCAATGTGGTGAAACCCTGTCTCTACTAAAAACACAAAAATTAGCCTGGCCTGGTGGCGGATGTCTGTAATCACAGCTACTTGGGAGGCTGAGGCAGGAGAATTGCTTGAACCTGGGAGGCAGAGGTTGCAGGGAACTGAGATCACACCATTTCACTCCAGCCTGGGTGAAAAGAGCGAAATTCTATCTCAAAAAAAAGAAAAGAAAAGAAAAGAAATCTAATAACATTTTA